CATTGGCCTTTGCAGTCCCCCTGACTTTCTTCATTCTGTTCTTGCGTTCCTTTCGCTGCTTTCTTGATGTCTTTTTCTTCTCGTACAGGCCATGCTGAAGGACAAAGGCATATTATCTCAGTGACTTGCCAGTATTAACTCGTCATTACCTACCAGCCTGGTAGGGAAACTTAAGTCAGAGCTTAAGAAATGCAATTTTCCAAACCCAAAATCTTTCAAGTACATTTAATACTTGTTTGTGATAGAACAAATGAATGAAGAGAAAGTACAGAATAGCCTCGCAGGAAACAAATGGTCCACCTGATACTATCTGAATGGGAAATTCAGAAGACTAGCTGTTATTGTCCAGCCTTGAACCCATAGCTATTTTTTCTTCTTTTTGCACCACCAAAACAACACATCTCCCAACTGGCTTCCCTTCAAGGTCTCCTTCCACTTCACCTCGCTATCACTCCCTGATGAAGAGAGGCCTTTACCAAGATCTTGACCCTCCCCACCACGAAGATTCCAATCTACACACCTGCACTCTGCCCACCTTTGCACTTCCCGTTCTTGCTGCCTAAAAGGAACAGAAGACTGTTTCTAAATCTTTACAAGGATCTCAGCTTCAATGTCACCTCCTCAGCAAGGCGTTCTCAGAACATGAACCCAATTAAAATAGTGCGGGCTGGGCGCGGGGGCTCACGTCTGTAATCCTTGCACTTTGGGAGTCTGAGGCAGGAGGATCGCTTGAGCCCAGAAGTTTGAGGTTGCAGTGAGCTATGACGACACCACTACACTCTAGCCCAGGCAAGAATGAAACCCTGTCTCAAGAAAAAAAAAATAGTGTGGCATTTATCTACCATATCACCAGGATTTTCCTTCACAGATATTGTATGGCAAGATTTACAGAAGGGAGTAAAATAGGTTAAAAGGGAATACAAAGGTAGCATTTCAAGCTAATAATGTTTGTTTGTTTACTAGAATGTAAGCTATGGAGCTTCCCTGTTCACTGCTGTGGTTCACTCTATAGTGCTTGGCACTTAGCATATGATCCGACACCGTTCATGTTTCCTGGCTACCTAAGGGATTAAGTCCACAATCAGTCTTTCGGTATTAAAGGACCTCAGTGAATCTGGTGCCAAGCTACCTTTCCAAACTCATCCCCCTACTTCCCCTGTGGATAGGGACCCTCACCCCCTAGCCCATCTCCATGAGCACTATTTTATCTGCCCTCTGAACCCACTTCAAATGCCAGACTCCAATTCTGAACCCCCACACTCTACCTGTGCATTTTATCAAATAACCTTTTCTCTTAACCCCTTCAGATTTCTTCATGTCTGTATGTTGTCCCTCCCAGACCTCTTGGTCTTCCTCACTCTACACCAACACAACGCTAATGAAAAAATAAATCTTCAGTAACTTTTGAACAAATGAAAAACATCTACCCTTGCAAGCCTATGTTTGGGTTCATTTTTCTTTGCATAATCCAAGGAATCGTAAATCATGCCAAAGCCAGTCGTCTTGCCACCACCAAAGTGAG